AAAATGCAGGGAATATTGACTGGTCCGGCGCCCCATAAAGGCCCATAGCCTGCTGCTTACGTGCCGCAGAGATATTTAATTTCAGGCTAATTCGTAGCGACTCAATCGCCAGAAATTTCATATTCCATCGAGATAACTCGAGGGCAAAAGCAATATACTGAAAATAAAAATGAAATATTTTTAGCCAGAAAACTGTATTTATAGACCTTTGATATTACCGGATATTGCTGTTGGTTTGCAAAACAAACTTTCTATTATTGTAATAAGGAGTAAATAATTCCTAGTTTTAGATTTTGAGGTTTGGCATGGAAACCGAAAAATCCTGCAACACACCATTTCAATCTTTTGGCCTGACTATTTCAGTATTTACTGATAAAACTGACTAGCGTTCTATGACGAATGCCGTTCTCTGATTGGCTACGCTACTCACTATCTGTTCTGTTGTAGATAGTGTGCCTAGCAGTGTGCGGTCGTCAACAAAGCGAAGGCAGCGTCTTTGTGTTTTTAAGTGCCTGTGAACAAGATTAATTAAGCTAATGTTAAGTTTTCTGAACGACTAGAGGATTTATTAGATTATTCGTTCTCGATTTCTATGCGTCATGATTGGATAATTCGGGCTGCGCCCTCTTCAACTATCACGCGACGTAAGTCTCGACCTCATAATCTAATTGTTAAATAGACTTCGGTTTATAAGTAGAATATCGTGGGCATTAAGCCGCAATGAAACAAGGGAACTTTTAAGCTCCCTTGATGCATCTTTTGTGCCCCATGAAAACCACTAAGGACTGGGAACGAGTCTAGCACCCGGCAGCTTTCCATTTATGTAAATGAAACGTTTTGTTGTGCACAAATAGATCGTTTTCACGTGATGCCATCGTTTTCTAAAATTGAAAACTAAAGAGCCACCAAAGTTTTTATCCTCATCAGGCATAAGAGGGGCTAAATTTATATCTGTTTACAATTTTACAGCTCAATAGTGTGCTTTGTTTGGAAAACAGCGTATTTTGAATTTCAGAGTTATGGCGGTGCGTGACACAAAGCTACGATCGCATTTGTCGAAAAATATATACCTATCTCATGATTTTTAGCTTTTTTATAAGTTAGAGCATTAGGAAAAGTGCTTATGTAAATGTTTGTTTGTTCAGCACAAATAATCAGTCGCCTAGATAGCCGAAGTAAGCCCCAGATGGTGCCACAGAGGTGCACCAACATGGCGGCTCCGTACTGAGCTCTGTAAATTTCTGCGAAACATTTCGACAAATATCTGCGGTTTGGGAAAACGCACAGACCTAAAACTTGGAGAAGTGTTCTCTTTATTTATTTCCTATAATAACACAATTTGTTGACTTTATCCACTGAATGGTTTTCGATTTATTTTTTTATTGCGTGACAGTGAAAACGATCTATATAGGCCACGTTTGATATATCAATATTCGAACATGCCTCCAAGGCTTTCGGGTCAAAATTATAAATTTTTTCTTTTGTCTCTCAGTTCCCAAAAGAGACTTGGATACAATGAAAACAACACCAAATATAGAAGTTTGTCCTTAAAGCCTCGAGGCCATGTTCGAATATTGATCTATCGAACACCGCCTATTCCTAGAAACAAGACTGAGCTTCTAAGAATACTTCAAACCTGTCAAACTGGAAATTTCCAGAACCCCTGTCAATCAAGCCAGGTCCGAAAAAAGGCTGAAGTCGTTGCGACGCCGTTTGTTGTGCTAGTACTAGTACTAGTACCGTAGCTCGTCGTCTTTTTCCTGTATCAAAATGTTTTCTCCAGGAAACACTCTTACCATGGGAGTCTTCGTTGCTGTTTTGAGTCAAATAATTTCACCAGCTGCAGGTATTTGTTTGACGCAGACTTGCTGTCTTTTGTGGTCATCTTCATGCATTCTTAATTATTTGTGCGAAAATTTTAAAAGCTCTGTCTTGACCTGTCTTCAATTTGAGTTTTATTCTTGTTTGCGATGAAATAGAATTAAGCTTGATTCGTTATAGGAAAAGTATTCATCGTTCGTGAAATTAGTAAGAAAAGTCGAGAAATAAGATGTGAAAAAGACTGCGGTTCCTCTGTGCGATGGACGATTTCTCGGAAATTGCAACATGATAGGGATTCCCGGAAACTTATTCAAATAATTTTATCTAAAGAGTAGTCACGAAGATGAAATCTTCAAGGAAGAACGTAATATTCTGAAGAACGATCAACGAAAGTTGTTCCTTCGATTATAAATGCTATGCACAATTCTGGCCTTTTCCAGTGAATCGATATTAGGTGGTCCGAATTCTTGGAAGCGATGGATAATTCCTAGATCGATACTCAAGTTACTGAACGTGACTCTCAAAGCTTCGTCATATTATATACTTTCTTGCCACAAAAAGGTACTCTAAATTCGTTGACACGACTATCGAAACGAAACTTGAAGTAAACTGAGGAAGTAAACTCGAGTTCCCTTTGAATGCCATCAGAAACAAACAAACAAACAACAGCGTTGATTTAAGAGGGTGCATAGCACTGATGAATTAGTGGCCCTCTTAGCTAGAAATTAGAAAATAAAAGATATTAAAAATATGGGCAAATGTAGGATTGAAGTCAGGTACTATGTAAAAAAGAGAAAAATACATAGGAACCGAGATATCCTTCCTTCCCGAGGTAATGTTTGCTGAAATAGAGTCAATGAAGGCAATTTATCATCATCATAAGGGAGAACCGACTACCTTGATTAATAATTGTTTTATTCTTGTCCTGTAGTACTGACTTGTCGATGTTTGTGTT